TAAAAATTTTTTTCATAGAATTTAAAATATATCCTATAGTGTGTGTCACCACTGCTGTAAAATGCCAATTTTTAAAATTCTAGTATGATAAATTTAGAATTAGAATAAGATAATATAATATATTAACAAATACTTTATAGTTGACAGCAAAATTTAAATTTCATATAATAATGATAAAACTATTATGATCTAAAATTATTATTTTTAATTATGTTTCTATTTTTCTCTATAACAAATATTAAAAAACCGTAAAAGGGCAAAAATTACTATAAATTTCTACTTGATTATAATAATTCATCACAAATGATTAAATTGCACAATATTTATGAATAAATCATACTAAAAGTAATCATAAAGCTAATTATCTAAATACGCTAATTATCTAAATATGCTAATTATTCAACTTTATATTAATTTGTTTAATAAAATTTCAATATATAAGTGAATTTTTTATTTTACCAGTGCGGCCCTGTGGCGGTTGCCCATGTCTGACGCAATGGAAGCAACATGAGAGTTTTAATATGTTTAATTTTTGTTCTTGAAATTGTATGTCCGCTTCATAATTTAATTATAAATTTTGCAAAAGTTGCCGTGCACATAGATCGCGTGTTTTTGTTTTACTTTGATACAAGTATTTATAACACAATAATAAATGGGAAATGACGTGCATAACTCACTACAATGGCTTTATAAGAAGCAAGCGCGAGGTATTTATAAAGAAATGTGCTACGCTTCTGTTATTAATAATGGAGTATTTATTCTTGTCACACCTATTTCTAACTGGTAAGTGACAGAAGTTATATTATTTAACATTTCAGATAATTTTCATATATGTTTATAAAAATATTAAATTTAATAAATTAAATTGAAATTTAATAAATTTTGACTTAAGACAAGTGGTGATAGCCTTATATGTATACATTATATAACCAATGAGAAATGAATTTCTGCTATTTTGGTAAAAAAATTCAACTGTTATTTTAAAAATAAATCATGAATACAATTTCCAATTGATATCTTTTAAACTTATTCATAATATCTATAATTGTATCAATTAATTTAACTTTTTTAACACATTTCATTTCATCCATTTCATGTCCTACTGTAATCAGTAGCTACTTATAAAATGCCAAGGAACGAACATACGCTTCGGCATAGATTCTGATTAGAATCGCTTAAGCTCGCGACGAAATTATTAACTTTGATGAATTTTTATATATCAACCGCTTATCGTAGGCCTATAATATTTTAGTATGTTATTTTAGACTACAAAATCAATATTTCAAAAAAAAATCAACATTTAATTACAGAAAACCAGCCTGACCGATTTTTACCAAAAACTAATCAACGCAATTCCATCCAATTTTTTGTTTAATTTTATATTTTTATTTCTTACTTCACTTCATAATTTTCCTTTAGTTTCTTAATTATTATTACTTATTATGTATATTGTTTACTTTATTTGATTGTTCTCTTTATTACCTAAGCAAGCAATTTTGTATTATAAGACTTTTTAAGTCTTGATTGACAAAAGAATAAATAAAGGTGTAAAAAAAACCTTTCTGCCAATTGCAAAGAATCGGCTTGATAATCGCCCAACTGACTAGCGATAGTTCTTATCGAGATGATTAGAATGACTTTTAAAATTTTGAAATCGAACCAGCTGTTTTTGAGAAAACGTCGACGAAAGATCAAAAATCGTCTCAAATACACAAACACATACTTTTTCCAAATTTGGTATCATTCGATTAAGAACGGGTTGAAACGTCGAAAAACATGAAATTAGCAAATCAGGAAATTTAAAACCAGGTGAGAATTGCCTTAATTTTGGCAAATTGCAAAAACTTCCTAATATATTAAGAATTGATAAAATCAATAAGACACCAATATACGAGTATTAATTAAAGAGTGATTCATAAGTATTCTGAGTTGCTTTAAGATTGTACAATTTTAGAAACAATAACAGATTATTTTGTACAGTTGGTTATTTTCAGCAAACTATTTATTGAACAGGGTGTATTTTCTAAAATCGTACCTCGTTACTTCAATCTTGGGTGAATTTTTATACCTAAACCACTTGTATAGTAGTCATAATATTTTGTGATATTGGATAAGACGAGTGTCTTTATCGAGATTCTACGAATAGCTAAATGTTTGAAATCGTTGATGCCATTTTTGAGAAAATAGGGTCAGAACGTCAATTTTTGGCTCACACACATACATACATTTTCCAATTCTGGTGTCAGACGATTCAGAATAACTTTTTTGCGAAAATACACTCTTCTTCACCAATAAATAATTTTTAATGTATCGTCCACAACAACTTAAGAAGCGCCTGTATCATTATGCTATAATTCAAATAAGTTGTTTTTATTTGCCAACATGCAAATTGACCATATAATTATCTCCATAGCAAGCGGTGCTACAACTTTCTTAGTCAAAGTATTACTAATGTGCTCACATAAATCACACATGCATTATGAATATCATCATCGGCGCAAATATCATAGCTAAAAGGCATATGGTTATGTTATAAATAAGGTATATCGAAGCGAGGCGAATTCTAGTCGCGAGTGTCAGGGCACTTGAAATTACGGTCTTAGATGGAACCAAGTGGATGAACCGATTGGGTGCAAATAGATTCAGTATAATTTAACACATTCATGATGTAAAACTCATATATCCAATGGCTTGGTTCGATATAGCTGCAAATCGTGTGCGCAGGCATTAAGCATAATCATATCACAAACAGAAAACATGTAAAACGTACATTGCAACATTATCGTGTAAGACATCCATCACGATGGCACTAGATAAGCCGCGAGAATAATTTGTATAATAAACGTATTCCTTCCACATATACTTTATCTGATTCGAATTTGTAAATATGTGATTTGATGGAAATATTATTGAGTTGTGTTTATAGATACGAAGAGATAAAAGATAAATTTTTAAGTCAATATTAATAAAATTTAGTAGTACTGATTAGTAGAGCTGTCAAGAACCGTCATTTTCAAGAACCGGTTCCAAAGTCCAAATAGGACTCGGTTCCGGGAGAACCGTGAACGGTTCCAACCCGGAAAAGTCCGGATCGATCCCGGAAAATCCCGGACCGCACCGGAAAAAACTCCGGCACCGGATTTTTTTTCTATATTGTGAATAATGCAGTAGTATTTCACTATGATGAAATGGGTGTATGTGTGTGTGTGTATGTGTGTGTGTGCGGATACAAATTTTCGTCTACGATTTCGGGAACACGGTTCAACGGATTTCAATTATTCAAAATACATTCGATTTGTATTGATAAGGAGACGTGCTGATTAGTTTTTGGCATAAGCAGGTCTAGCCGTTTCGAAGATATGGGGGAGAAGTGCCATAAGCGGTAACTCAGTTTTTGAGAGAACGGAGCGTTCGATTTTAATAATTCAAAAATCATTTTACTTGTATTGACAAGATGAAGAATTGATACCATTTTTATGAATGCAGATCTATCGGTTTCGGAGATCTAGTAAAAAAACTAAAAAAAAGCCATTTGGCGGTCAAAAATGATCATTAGACATATGCACATCAAATTATCAGATATTTTATAGAAATTTCGTTTCAACGCAGATAAAGCAGTACGATTGCTTTTAACAAAAGTTCAGAACTCCCAAAATATTTCAAAATAAAAAAAAAAACAATTTTTTTTCAAAAAGTCTTTTCTTTCTAAAAAAGTTAATTTTTGTCAAAAATTTATAGTTTCTCAAAAATCTATTTTTTTCAAAGTATTTTTTTTTTCAAAATGTTAATCCTTTTAAAAAAATAATTAAAAAATAAAAAATACGGGAAGTACCAGCAATTTGCCTTAAGACACGATGCCACACACCACTAGTTTCTTATTTTTTTATTCAGTCACAAATATCCAAAAAGCTACGTGTTTCGCTTTTAGTTCTTGAATTTTTTTTTGTAACCCTTTGAATTTTTTAATATAATTATAATTAACGCTTTCTGTGCATTTCTATTTATTTATATATTTGTTTGATTGTTTGCCATTAATAATGCAATGCAATTCTCAAATTGAAAATTGTACATTCGAATAATATTTAGTCTGCTTTCATTATTTTTAGGTTATATGTAATTTTCATAAACTTCTAAATAAATAATTATAAACTTTTTCTTAAACCAATAAACTTCTTTTTTCAATCGGATTTATCATTTAATTCACATCGGAAATAAAATAATTTTATGTAGACGCCCTATATGAATAAAGTAGAAAAGCATAGATAAATAAACATGAAACATACAATTCCATCTTTATACTGGGGTTTGTGACATTGTTTTGCTTTATAGGTTATGTACAAACTTATTTTTTCATTTCAGAGTTATTTTAAATTAAATTTTATAGTCTGGGAATTGTAGTCTATGACATAATAATAAAAACATGTGTCTCCAAATATTTTTACTGTAGGTTAGTGTGTTATGCAATCCAATTTCGTCCTATAAGTTCTTAAATATACTTAAAGAAGCATAATTAGTTTGTGTTTCAGGTTAATAATTATGAGTAAATGTTTAATATACACATAATGTTATCAGTTATATGAAACATCAAAAATATTTTAAATTTTATATTTTATATAAACAGTTTGTTCTTTTAAAATTTGTAGATCTTCAATATTGAGCTTAAAATTTCTAGACTTGAATATAATTCAATATGAGATGAGGATTATTATAGATCAACTAGCAAACTATCACTATAGATAGAAATTAAGATCCCAAAGGTTGTAAGAAGAATTGAGGAGAAATAGTAAAATATCATATTTATTACAAGAAGCATTTAACCTTCAAAATTTTAGCATTTAGCTATTAAATGTTAGTCTTTATTGAGAAGTTTAATTATGAAAAAAATCAAAATCTATCTAGTGCAAAAATATGGTGCATTAAATTATAAAACGTTTTTTCTGAGTCTGAAATTTCAAATTAAAACCTCACATTTACAACATAAAATTGATTTATTTATATTTTTATACATTTTTGTTTTCATAGAGAAAAACAAGCATGTCCACATTGTCAGGTCGAAGGCAATTTCTGCGGTTTGTGATTATATTTCCAGCTGTGGAAAAAACCCTTTCAGATGGTGTCGAAGTGGCTGGTATAGCTAAGTATTTTTTGGCTATCATGGATAGTTTTTTGTATTTGTTTTCATTACGGCGCCACCATTCAAATACGCAGTCTCTTTTACTTATTGGTTTTTCAGTAATGTATATATCAATTTCTGATTTTGTTATAGTAGGCATAGCATCGTCTCTTTCCTCATCGAAAAATACATCTAAATAGTATCTTTCTATGTCTGAAGATTCTTCTTCGATTGTAATGGGGGTTGTCTCTTCCATACGCCTTAACAACACTATTGCCTTTTGTTTTACGTTATGAGGAACTTCATCTTTGTATCTAGGATCTAATATGCTTGCCATATCGAAAACTGTTAAATTTCCATCGTCAACATTATAGAGAAATCTATCCATTATTTCAGTTCTTATTAGTTTTTTAAACTTTTTTATATGGATAGATTCCTCTTCATTAATTCTCTCTGAACATCTTCTCATTAACGAAGACATCAATGGTTTTGCTGTTGACAATGTTACAGCCTTTTCGTATGACAATAAGCTGGTACTCATTTCAAATGGTCTTAAGATTGCGACCAGCATTCCTATTATCGCCCATTCCTGCTCAGTTATTTCAAGTGACACAGCTGTCCTAATGTTCGTCACAGAGCGATCATTTAGAACAGCTGAAATTGCTGGCCGTTGTTCTACCAGTCTTTCAAGCATGTGGTAAGTGCTGTTCCACCTAGTAATGTTCTTGTTTATTAGCTTATGTACTGGAAGTTGTAGTTGATCTTGCTTCTGTTTCAAATTATAATAGGCTAAGCTAGAATGATGGAAATGACTTACTACATTTCCAGCTTTCTTCACAACATCATGAACATTACCGACTGAAAGGGCTCTATTGATGCACACTGTAGGGTATGTGCAAAGCAGGGTATGCTATCACCAAACAAGTTCCTGTTCTTCGAAACAGCCTCTGTAATGTTTGCAGCATTGTCATGAACAACAGCAGATATTTTACCTTTAATATTCCAAACTCCCAATAGTTCAGTCAATTTATTTTTTAAATTCTCTGAAGTGTGTTTACCGAAATTTCGACAGTGGATAATGTAACATTGTTGTACTTCCATGTACTGTCTATTACATGACCAGTAATAGTCATATATGAATTTGATGATCTTGATGTCCACATATCAGTTGTGATTGCCACATTTTTAGCTTCAGACAACAATTTCTTGACTTCGCTGGTCTTGTTGTCGTATAATAATTTCACACGACTCAGCACAGTACCTCTTGAAGGAATTTTGTAAGTCGGTTCAAGAAATTTCATAAATTTCTGAAATCCTTTACGTTCCACAAAGCTTAGTGGTAGCATATCTGTGGAAATCATTTCAGCAAGTAAGCAAGTAATTTTCTCGCTCCTTTCTTCCAAATACTTGCTGCTTCGAAATGCTCCTGTTATTTTGGTCTGTGTCAATGAAGTTGTTTGAGAATCAGCTGAAGTGATGCTCATATCTTCAGAGTCACTCAGGATCTCTACCTCTTCTTCAACGTCCATTGAAAATCTAAAACAGTGAAATATTTTTATTCACTATTTCATGTGTTCATGTGTATATGTGTATTATGTGTATATAATGATAAAAAATTCTAAAGATTGAAGTTGAACAATCAATATGGCCAATAATGGACTATTATAAAATAATTTGATATTTAAGTTTCATAAGCTTGTTTCATTTTTTTCAATGAAAAGTAATTAGAGCGATACTTCTAATATTTGTAATATTTAAGTTAAAAATATATATTTTACACAGTATTATTTGCAGACGCCCATTACTGTCGTCAAATTCTGTTCTATTATACGTCAGCTTATTTATTATTTAATTACTATTTATTTATTTATTACTAAATTATATCATTAACATGAATTTAGCAAGTAGGATTTTCTGGTGAAAACGTAAACTTCTTCGAGAAATTGCGTTGCGCTATTTATTATAAAAGTATTGACGGCACTATAAAAGTTTCAGAAACAGAGCAATTTATGCATTTTGCATTAGTTATTCAAAACTATATAAGTATATATACTTATATAGTATATATATATATATATATATATATATATCTATATAGTTATTAAGAACTATGTAAGTATAGTGTTGGATAACTAATATAAAATGCATAAATCTCTCTGTTTCTGAAACCTCTATAATGTTTAGTACTACTTATATTAATAACTATAGTCATACCAACTATAAGTTTTAAAAGAATTTGTGAAAAATTTAATATTTCTATTTAGTATTGAAAAGTAACACATGTAATGAAAAATCAAATACAAAAAGGGTTGTAATTGGCACTGTGTCTGAAAATATGTTATGCAAAAACAGTATAAGCTGATATTAATAAAATTGTGTTCCAAATTAGATTTTATAAAACTTTTACACTTGATTGTCACAAAAGGATTCAATTAGTAAATGAATATTGATGGAATATTAAAATCTGATAAATTATTTACCTTTGCGCTTTCTAGAAGTTGAAGAAGTTCCGGAAGAGCTTTTCTCGATATCGAAAACACTATGAATAGTTTTCAAATGTTTACGAATTGAGCTAGTACTTCCTCCAACGCACTTCAGTTGTTTTTTGCAAAACTTGCATTCTGCGGTATCAACCGATATTTTTTTAAAATAACACCAAACTGAACTTTGTTGATTCATCATTATAATTTGTTGTCGGTACAAAAAGATTAATAAATTTAAATAATAACAAAAGATTAATTGAAAATAAATGCTTTACTTTAACTTTAAAAGTTTCAAAATTAGAAGTATAATTATAAATATATTTCTAAAATGAACTTTAATAATAGCCAATTGCGTGTATTTTCTTCAAACGTCTGTAAGAAACTGATCCTTGAAGCACTTGAGACAAATCTTTCATTTAGGAATTCTAAAGACATCCAAGAATTACTCGGGGGTTGTGGTAGGTAAAGAAAATTTGAAACAAAATGCACAAAAAATCTATACCGTAATATTTAAGTGTGACTTTAACTGAAAACATATTACGAAATTAAAATCATATTTAAACTTTTTAAAAACTGTTGCTTCATTAAAATCAGCAAAATAATCATAATTAGAGCTATTATAGTAATAATACGATTTGTTATTAAATTAAAATTATAACTAATTAATATTATAAAATTAAAATTATTAAAGAAATATAATAAATTTAATTATCTTATTAAAAATAATGTAAACATGCGAAAGGTTGTACATTTTGCTTCTATTACCCAAAATTTATTTAAATATAGGTAAACTTTATACTCAAAACTGGGAAAAACGAACATCTAGGTACGCCGCTTTGTAAGAGTCAACCATTTTTTTATACGAAAATATTTGTTAAAAAACTAGATACATATATTAATGTATCGTTTTTTGAGATACGAGCCTTCGAAGGCGCGGTTCGTTTGCTTCAATATACGAACAAAATTCGTGATACGCGCCGCCAAAGAAGCGATGCCGCTAGCAAGACCGCCTGATTCTGTAAATTTATAAGAGTGTGAATGAAGCAGATTCATTTAATAGGATTTTTGTATATGAAGTTGCATAAAAAATATTAGTGTCAATTGTTTATAGTCAAAAATTTCAATTAATTAATATTAATTGTTTCATTATTCTTGTTCGTCAGATACAACAATTCACACCCATTGTGATTATTTATGTTAATGTAAAAAGTAGCGTTCGATTTCTTTTGCTTCTTATGCCGTTAAAAAATATTTACTTGTATAATCACGATTTTTATGAGATAGTATATTTATAGAATCATGATTAGATAGTTTATTCAAACGCAAGAACTAATATAATAATAATTAAGTTATTTTTTATTTAGTAACTTGCTATATTTTGGATAATATATATATTTGATCTTAGAAATAAATGTTTCAATCCATTTTATTAATAAAAAAACACTGTCCTGGAACGAATTAATGGCATTTCAATGTATTTGTATAGAGAAAATTGCATCGAGATATGATATACGATTCGAAATGCGAGTGTGGGTACGGAACGAATTAAGCTCGTAAGGCGGGATATCACTGTATATAATATAATATATAATATATATATATATATATATATATATATATATATATATAGAGAATAGATATAAATATATATATAGATAGATATATATATATATATATATATATATCAACATCAAAATATAAAAATTTACCATATATATATAAATATATATATGTATAATTAATCATACATTTCAACATCAAATTTAAACACTTTCACAACATATTATATATATATCACTGTATATATTTACATATAAATTAATTTATACAAATTGTTAGTAATAATTAAAAATTAAAAATAATTAAACAACTGCAGCATAATGAAAAACTTACTTAAAAAATAATATATTCTAAAAACTTACAAAAATAAACATAACTTTAATTACTTTGAAGCATATTTCAGTTTCTTTAGTTTTTAGTTTCTCAATTAAAGTTTTCGATATCCATAGCAAGAGGCGGTTTCTTTTGATCAGGAGAATTTACAAAACTGGCTGCATATAGTATTAAAAAAATATTTTATTAAAAGTATTACAACAAAACGCCTTAGTTTAATTGAAATAATAGTCTATTTCATAAAAAGTAAGTTAATTTCTAAATTGTTAACTTCATAGAAATATAAAAATTTCATACTATGCCAACACATACATATATTTATTTTGTTACCCAAGCTCTTCCCATTATGTAATTCGACTCTTGCACGAACATTGTGAAAGTGGACCTTATGATCATAATATTAGTAAATGTACTAATACATATATATCTAAAGATTTCAAAGCAAAAGCGTACTTTTAGAGTACGCTTTTTCTGCGTAGTCGGGTGTTCTATTGAAAATTGTTGGTGGTCTTTCTGAAAACAAGTGTCAAAGTATGATTTGGAGAAGTCCCTAAAATTAATATTTATGGGCTAAAGACATAAGAATACATATAAACAATGTTTAATTTTCAGAAGTAAAAAGCTATATATTTCAAAATATTTCATACTAAAATATTCAACTATTATAAAATGTTATTATAATAACAGTAAAATTCTATATATTTTAAAATATTTCATGCTAAAATATTCAACAATTATAAAATGTTATTATAATAACATTTATAATTGTTGAATATTTTAGTATGAAATATTTTAAAATGTATAGCTTTTTACTGTTAATATAATAATTTTATAATAACTGTTATTATAAAATGTATTATAATAACATTTTATAATTGTTGAATATTTTAGTATGAAATATTTTAAAATGTATAGCTTTTACTGTTATATAATAATTTTATGATAACTGTTATTATAAAATGTTAATAATCATTCATATAAACAAATATTTGTTTCAGAGACCGTATATCAATTTAATGAATTCAAATTTTTCTTCATATGGATCAATCGAGAATAAATCAAGCAAATTTCATAAAAATTCGGGAAACAAGTATCAATTTAAAATTTCATCAAAACAATTATTAAAAATTAAACAATCGACAGGATGAGTGTAATGAAATAATATGAATATTTGTTCGTAATATATAAAGACTCTTTCAATCGTCGCATCTGTTTGATAAGTCGCGTATTGTTTTATACGTTTTATTGAAATCATTTCCAAAATTAATTTTTTTTAAAATTTTTCGGATTTGTATTGCTCGATCGGAGTGGAAAATATGTTTTTTTTTTATTTTGTAGAATCGGTTGGCATAAATAAAATACTATTTTGCAAAATCTACTTTCCGAAATTATTAATCATATGTTATAATATATCTACTTATATTTTTAACTTTGTGTTTTATATAGTTCCATGCATAGACATATTAGATATAGGCAATACGAATACAATATTAGCTGCAGTTATATTGAAATTATATTATCGAAAATAATTAAATATGTAAAAATAAATTTGCGCTTGACAAAATATTGTCATATTGTCGATAATTATCTTTTGAATTTTAAATTGTTGTCTACACGCACACACATCTGCTTCGCCTGTGTACAAAAAATTCTTCGCACGTGGCACGCGTTTCGTGCCGCTGTTCAACGCTTGTTCTGTCTCTTTCAAGCATTAGCAGAAGCGCCGCTCTCTCTTTCTGTCCAAATACAAATAGCCGCCTTTTAGGGCGGCCTAGAGGCGGTCAAATCAAAAAATGAAAAATTTAAGGCGGCCATACACGAAAAAGGGCCATAACAAAAAGCGGTCGCATTGAAAGTCCACTGAATTAAAAGGCGGCCAAATTGAAAGTCCGCTGAATTCATCCGCAGTATTGAAACTCCGCTGAGTTAAAAGACGACCGTAGTCAAAATCAGCCGAAG